TGTGTGTCTGTGTGTCTGTGTGTCTGTGTGTCTGTGTGTCTGTGTGTCTGTGTGTCTGTGTGTCTGTGTGTCTGTGTGTCTGTGTGTCTGTGTGTCTGTGTGTCTGTGTGTCTGTGTGTCTGTGTGTCTGTGTGTCTGTGTGTCTGTGTGTCTGTGTGTCTGTATGTCTGTATGTCTGTTTGTCTGTGTGTCTGTTTGTCTGTGTGTCTGTGTGTCTGTGTGTCTGTGTGTCTGTGTGTCTGTGTATCTGTGTGTCTGTGTGTCTGTGTGTCTGTGTGTCTGTGTGTCTGTGTGTCTGTGTGTCTGTGTGTCTGTGTGTGTCTGTGTGTGTCTGTGTGTGTCTGTGTGTGTCTGTGTGTGTCTGTGTGTGTCTGTGTGTCTGTGTGTGTCTGTGTGTCTGTGTGTATGTGTGTATGTGTGTATGTGTGTATGTGTGTATGTGTGTATGTGTGTCTGTGTGTCTGTGTGTCTGTGTGTCTGTGTGTCTGTGTGTCTGTGTGTCTGTGTGTCTGTGTGTCTGTGTGTCTGTGTGTATGTGTGTCTGTGTGTCTGTGTGTCTGTTGTCTGTGTGTCTGTGTGTCTGTGTGTCTGTGTGTCTGTATGTCTGTGTGTCTGTGTGTCTGTGTGTCTGTGTGTCTGTGTGTCTGTGTGTCTGTGTGTCTGTGTGTCTGTGTGTCTGTGTGTCTGTGTGTCTGTGTGTCTGTGTGTCTGTGTGTCTGTGTGTCTGTGTGTCTGTGTGTCTGTGTGTCTGTGTGTCTGTGTGTCTGTGTGTCTGTGTGTCTGTGTGTCTGTGTGTCTGTGTGTCTGTGTGTCTGTGTGTCTGTATGTCTGTATGTCTGTTTGTCTGTGTGTCTGTTTGTCTGTGTGTCTGTGTGTCTGTGTGTCTGTGTGTCTGTGTGTCTGTGTGTCTGTGTGTCTGTGTGTCTGTGTGTCTGTGTGTCTGTGTGTCTGTGTGTCTGTGTGTCTGTGTGTCTGTGTGTGTCTGTGTGTGTCTGTGTGTGTCTGTGTGTGTGTCTGTGTGTGTCTGTGTGTGTCTGTGTGTCTGTGTGTGTCTGTGTGTCTGTGTGTATGTGTGTATGTGTGTATGTGTGTATGTGTGTATGTGTGTCTGTGTGTCTGTGTGTCTGTGTGTCTGTGTGTCTGTGTGTCTGTGTGTCTGTGTGTCTGTGTGTCTGTGTGTCTGTGTGTCTGTGTGTCTGTGTGTCTGTGTGTCTGTGTGTATGTGTGTCTGTGTGTCTGTGTGTCTGTTGTCTGTGTGTCTGTGTGTGTGTGTGTCTGTATGTCGCATAACTCATGAACCGATACACAGAAAAGTACCAAATTGTAAACTTAAACTTTATTCCAGCGTCTTATGAACAGATTAGATTTTGGGCAGAGTCGGAACATCTGGGGGGGGTACTTTATAAGTGGTCATTTTTATATTTTATGGAATTTATCTGTTATTTACGTTTGGGGAAGAAAATTCTTCAAATAAAAATTACTTCTAATATAATTATCTATAATTTTTGTGTTATGCAAAATTTTCCTAAAATAGTCCGTATTCGATAAATTTAACAAAATGTAAAAAATATTTTTTTATAAAAATTGTTTAAATAAAAGTTGTTTGTAATTTAATTCTCTATAATTTTTATTTTACACATAATTTCTTTAAAATGGATCATATTCGAGATATTTGAGAAAATGTGTAAATTTGGAATTTTGAGAAAACTCTAAACCGGATAAAGAAAAAAACATTAAATTTTTAAAAATTAAGGTTTATTTTGGCCTGACGTGAAATTATTATATTTTGGACAAAATCGGAACATCTGGGGGGGTACTTTATGGGAGGCCGTTTTTATATTTTATGGAATATATCTGTTATTTATGTTTGGAGAAGAAAATTGTTCAAATAAAAGTTACTTCTAATATTAATATCTATAATTTTTGTTTTATGTCAAAATTTCTTGAAATGGTCCGTATTCGAGACATTTGACAAAATGTGCAAAATTCTGATTTTTATGAAAATTGTTTGCGATATCGATCTCTATAATTTTTGTTAATACATGATTTTTCTAAAATGGACCGTAATGGAAAAGTGCTAAATTTAAATTTTTCAGTATTTTCGTTTTCAATGAATATCTATAGAAAAATGTTTCGAGGTAGATGTATGTGGACAATGTATATATTTAGTTTATCCTCTAAACATTTATAGAGATGCTGCAATAGGTTGTACAAAATAACCGGAAAAGCCTATAATAACTAGATAGGAAAGTCGTGTGTTGGACACATCAGATTTTTAACACTAGGTTATAATTTTGTTATTCGTGTTACAAACAGATATTCTAAATTTGTATAATATTTTAGATTGTGAGGATCCGTAGCTTATACTTATTTACTTTTATATATTTTTTATTATACCTGTTAAACAGGGGCGGTTTCTCCATTGGTTTATTTGTACAGTGAACGCCCATTCGCCTTTCATAAAAACACATTATTTTAAAATAAATGACATAAAAATATAAATTTAGTTTTAATATTTCATACGTGTTAATGTCTATTTTTGGTACGACAAAGAACAGATTAGAGAAGTGAGATCGATCTGGTGGTGGTACGCTGGCTCCGAATCGCTAGTATCATATCGTATTATTATCCGTATTTCTTTAATACTTATTTGTGTAACGTGGTTAAAAGTGCTGTCAACATTGTTTATTGTTCTATATTGCATTAACAAGTTTTATAAGTGTTAAATGTAGTGTTTTGTCATAATAATGTCTGACGGTGATGCCCTAAATATCCGAAAAAATATTTTATTGTTAACTTATATTCAAATATCTCTTAGTTATTTAGTATAGAATAAAAGTTTATTTCAAACCACCAAATTTTATTATACAGTCCATAAACAAAACATTGGTTAATGTTACAGCCGTATATTAATAATAAATAATCAGACGACAATAAGATGATACATGATTGTATAATCGAACGTGATTGTATTAATTTGCCAAATGTAATGCTAATAAAGATAGGCACAGATGTTTATATTCGTGAACGAGAATGAACAACGAACTAGTAAACGATTTAAGTTGCTTTGAAATTGGAAACTTCGAAATAAACTGTGGCGACATAAACAATAATCAACAACTTGAGTTTGAAACAGTGCTGGGTGAATTTAAAGGTCCATGGTTAAATTTGGAAAAACTGACAGTGCATATGTTGAAATTAAAGAAAACGACATCGAAAAATGGGACACTCGTGTAGAGGTGTTACAAAGTGCTTTAAATACTTTATTTAATAAGAGCATTCTTAAGAGTTTTAGCGTTATTTGATTATCAAAACAAAGCCGATAGCAGAAGCTTATTTGTTGAACTCGATTTAGTCATCAATCGATCGTAATAATATTTTCGACTAACGAAGAAATAAAGTTAAAGAACACATTGATCACGAGTAATGCAAACAGAAGTAACGTTATGATAAATAAATACGTAAAGCGGAGTGATTAGAAATTGGTGACTCAGTATGAGTACTGATTACGAGTAATCAAAGTACAAAGAACCATTTCGAATAACAAAAGTGCAGTACAATGTACAAATACCAATACAAAGTTGAAGATTTGAGCAAACGTAGTTGCATATTGGTTGCAGCTGACAAACTCGCCAGCTGGGTAACTATGATGCATCACTTATATGTAAAATGGATTGATCACATAAGTGACTAATCCCCCTTAAGTACCTAAGTACTTAAGTTAGGTTTTGTTTGTTAGCAGGTAACAGATCAGGCCGACACTGACACTTTGTTACATAGTTTAAGGCCGATCCTGCCCCGGTGGACCGATACTGCCCGATACGATGGCCGTTACTGCCATATTTCAAAGCCGATACTGCCTTGGTGTGCCGATACTGCCCGATGCGATTTCCGTTACTTCTATATTTCAAGGCCGATACTGTCTTGGTGGGCCGATACTGCCCGATGCGATGGCTGTTATCGCCAAAGTTCAAGGCCGATACTGCCTTTGTGGACCGCTACTGTCCGATGCAATGGCTGTTATCGTCATAGTTTAAGGCCGATACTGCCTTAATAGGCCGGTACTGCCAGATGCGATGTCCGTTACTGCCATATTTTAAGGTCGATATTATCTTGGTGGGCCGATAGTGCCCGATGCGATGGCTGTTACCGTCGTATTTTAAGGCGAATACTGTCTTGGTGGGCCGATACTGCCCGATGCGATGTCCGTGACTGCCACTGATGATAAAGCCAAGACTGCCTTTTGCTAATATGGATTATATGTTATTTTCTTTTGGTCGTTAACACCATAGTTCAAGGCCGATACTACCTTAATGGGCCGATACTGCCCGAAGTGATGTCCACAACTTCCACAGATGATAAAGCCGAGACTGCCTCTTGCTAATATGGATTTTGTTTATTTTCTTTATGTAACACAAGGAATCTTAAAAAAGAAACTTTCTATATTTTGTATTGTCTATGACCAATTTTGTTGTTACCAAGTTGATGTCATTTTTAGTATAGTATGTTTTAAAGTTACAATACTTAGAATATTAGATTGTTTAGTTGAGATGAGGACATATTAAATTCAGGAAGGCACTGTTCTAAAAATATGTTTAGTTTCGACTGTTAATATTACCATGATATGCTTTGAGTGATGTTGTCGCTATATTAACTTTGAATATTGCTATGTTGGCGAGATTGGCTTTGTAATTGACATAATTAGCATCTCGGCATTGCTTTGTATATTAATTAATAAAACTCGTTGTTTTTGGACTTTAAATATTTGTTTTCTTGAATATTCTTACACTTTCTACATTATATGACATGAATCAGTACTTAAAATATAGATGCAATACATTAGAAAAAATAAATAAATTTAAAAGTTTAAATGATAAAGCTTTCTTTGAAAATAAAAAAGTCTACGAAATGTAAGCGCTCACGATGTTTATTAAAACATAACTGTACTGTTATTGAACGAATAAAACACTAACTAGGACTGGAACTAGTCGTTTATTTAACACAAAAATCAGGATACCTTAACATGCTTTTTTGTCTCTAACATAACCTCACAAAACTCCCCTTTTTCCGCCTAGTGTATTCCGGTATTACTGGTTGCCTATAAGTAGGAGAGATAATAGATAACCCAACATCTCCCTTTTTAAGTTAAAACAAAAGAAAATAGAAATTTTAAGATATAAAACTATTAACCAATTGAATAATTTTAAGAACTAAACTTATTACCTAATATACATCTATAAGTTGCATAAAATCTATCTGACGTAATCTGAAAGCCATGCCGGTTGCTTTCTATTCCTAGTGGGGTGTTTCCAATCAGTAGAACTATTTGTATTGTCATCACCTGAGTCTTCTACAGAGACTTCTGGTTGTATCGATTCACCCACATTACGCACTCTACACTGGTTTTCAATAGCGTCGTCACTGTCACTATCCTTTAACTCAACAGGAACTTCAGTCTTAGAACTACTACATTTGCTGCGTTTGAAAAGTACCTCATCGAGCAGAGCGAGTAGATTTTTTGGGCACGTGACATCGAGCAAACCATATCAATGGAGGAAACGGAGCGAAAGGGGCGGTATCGAGTAAAAAAAGCAAAACGAGGTACTTTTCAAACGCAGCACTAGATTTTCTAAAATCTCTATGGGTGTTCTATTAACAATATTTTGGTCGTAATATGGAGCACTTATTAAAAACCATCTATTTCTGCGGTTAACAGAACCATCTAGTGTTTTAACGACATATGAACCAGGTTCACTTGCATGGTCAATAACTACTTCATACTTCCGAACGTCTGTAACCCACACAGAATCGTTAATGTTTAACTCAGACAACTCCTTAGAATTATGTCGTTTATTATAATTTTTCTCTTGCCCCTCTTTTCTCGTTTCCTCTCTCTCTTTAAACAAACGAGTATCAACAATCTCTTTGAGTTTATAAGGCAAAATAGGTAACAAAGTTTTGATTTTTCTTGACATTAATAACTCCGCGGGACTAAAGCCACATTCTAAGGGAGTTGCTCTGTAAGACATTAACCCTAAATGAATATCTTCATTTTTCTTGATCAAATTTTTAGCAATTTTCACAGCAGCCTCTATACAGCCATTAGACTGTGGATAATGAGGGCTACTAGTAATATGGCTAAAATTATAATCAACAGAACATTTTTTAAAACCTAAACTAAACTGAGGGCCATTATCTGACCTAACGACATCAGGAATACCATATCTAGCAAATTGTTCCTTTAAATGTTCAATAATGGTACTTTCGGTTAGACTGTTAATAGAGATAATTTCAAAGAATTTTGAATAGTAATCTGTTAAAATCAAAAACCAAGTTTTTTGTTTAAAAAGGTCTACAGCCACTTTTTGTCAGGGCCGAGAAGGAATGGCATCGTTTACAAAAGTTTCTTTAATATTTGTACGTTCCTCTATACAATTTGGACAGGACCGGACTAGGTTTTCAATCTGAGAAGAAAGTCCGATCCACCACACTGCCATTTTGGCACGCTCACGACACTTTACAATGCCTTGATGGCCTTGGTAAAAGAATTCTAGTGTTTGAAGCTGTAAAGAAGGAGGAATCATAATTCTTGTGCCTTTCGTTAAGAAATTTTCATTCAAGCTAATATCATATCTATACTGGAAATAGGGTATCATTTCTAAACATAAATCTTTTTTATCTGGCCAGCCTGAAATACAATATTTTTTTAACTGTTTGCAGATGGGATCTTTCTCTTGCTCGTGACTGATTTTTAAAAGAAAACTATCTTTAATTGGAAGATTTTTTATAATTAAATGAACATGAGCTTCAACTTCTGCTGATAATTCTTCCACAGTGTTTTTATTTTGCAGGGGACTACGAGACAGTGCGTCAGCTAATTTTAAATCTACTCCAGGAGTATAAATAACTTCATATTGATATCTCATAAGGCGAATACGGAAACGTTGCAGACGAGGTGTTAAATCATCTAACTGCTTTGTTTGCAAAATTTGTAACAATGGTTTATGATCAGTTTCAAGAGTTATAGGAATGCCTATAATGTATTCTTGGAACTTTTCACAGGCCCAGGTTAAACTTAGACATTCGCGTTCGATCTGAGCATAGCGACATTCAGTTGGTGTGAGAGTTCGCGATGCAAAAGCAACCAACTCGTGTTCGTTATTTTCATTTATTTGCATTAAGTTTGCTCCCAAACCAAACGAAGAAGCATTCTGCACTAACTATAATTTTTTTGTTAGGGTCAAAAAACGAAAGGCAAGGTGCATTAGTCAACAATTGTTTAATTTTATTAAATGCCGATCCCTGATCAGGACCCCACTTAAACAGAACATCATTTTTTAGTAAGTAATTAAGTGGTTCCAAGATTTCTGATTTATTATGTATAAAGCGTGCTGCATAGTTGATCATACCTAGTACTTGCTGCACTTCTTTTTTATTGCTGGGTTCTGGGAATTTAACTATAGCCTCGACTCGTGAAGGTTCAATTAAAACACCATTTTTTGAAACTGAATGCCCCAGAAAAGTAATTTGAGTAACCCCAATAAGACACACACTTTGATTTGTTTAAGGTGATACCTTCGGATAACAACCTGTGTAAGACTTCTCGGAGTATACTGTCGTGTTCCTCTATCGTAGATGCATGTATCAGAATGTCATCTACATGCAATATGATTCCTTTTAACCCTAAAAATAACTTTGAGAATTTTTGACTAAAGAATTCTGGAGAGCACGAAATTCCGAAGGGTAATCTAGTATACATGAATCTGTCGAATGGTGTAATAAAGGTAGTTAAAGCTTGTGAATTTTTTAAAAGTTTAAGTTGATAAAAAGATGACATTGCATCCAGTTTTGAGAAAAAACAAGACCCTTTTAGCTTGGCAAGAGAGGTTTCTACCTTAGGAATAGGGTAATAAGCCCTTAAAACATTTTTATTTAATTCAGTGTAATCTCCGCATAAACGCACTGTATCTCCCTTGGGAACCAACACGATAGGTGCAACCCACTTCGTATTTTGCTCAACAGGTACAATAATAGAAAGCTTTTGAAACACGATAGGTGCAGCCCACTCCGTATTTTGCTCAACAGGTACAATAATAGGAAGCTTTTGAAGCCTGTCTAATTCTTTTTCTAATTTATAGAGTAAAGGTATGGGTACAACTCTGGGAGTTGCCTGAACAAATGGCTTAGCATTTTCTCTAATTTTAATCTCAATTTCATCTTTGAAATTTCCAATTTCATTAAAAATACCTTTAAATTCTTTTTCTACATTGACAGTAGTATTAAATGTTAGACTTAGTGAGTTTACTGAGAAATTTAGAACTTTAAGACATGATATTCCTGGGCGGCCTAAAATGGGTACCTTTAGGTCCTTAATAACATACATGACAATTTTACAATATTGATCATTAGCAGGATAACTTAGTTTTACAGAAACTGTACCTAAAACTTGTAATTTTGTACCATCTGGGCCAGACATTATGTCATTACATTGTTTTAAACTGTCTGACAAACCTTCATCTAACAATTTGGAAGGGATGCACACAATGTCTGCTCCAGAATCGACTAAAAATGTAACTAACCTAGGGTTATCGTTTATTTTAAGATTTACAAGCCACTGACTATTATTATTAGTAAAAATATTACCTAAGGTATATTTATGTATGGTTAAATTACCAATAAACAGTTCCTCCTGATGCTGATCATCCTCAGTGGAAGTGGAAGTGATAGACCTAACTACTTTTGTTTCAATGGAAGTTTTTGACTTACAGACGCGGTCCCAATGACCAAGTTTACCACAGCCGCGGCAAGTAGATTTTCTTGCTGGACATACCTCTCTATTGTGTCTTTGGAGGCCACAAAACTCACAGACGTCCTTATTACCCATAAATCTATTTTTCGGTGCCCTGGACACTGCATTCACTGCTTTCTGATGTCGAATATTGCTCTGTTGGCATTGAATTTCTGCTTGACGGGCATACAATATAGCATCTGCTAATGTTAAGTTTGCTTGCATTTGCATTTTCTCACTGGTTTTTCTGTCTAACATCCCTACCACTATTCGATCTCTAATAAACTGTTCCTTAAGTGTATTAAAATTACAGTTCTCTGTTGACGAGTGCAAAACTGAAATTAATGTCTCAACATTCTCACCAGGCAAATGGACCCTTGAATTAAACTGGAATATTTCAAATACAATATTTCTGCGGGGAATAAAATGACTTTCCAACGAAGCGAGCATCTCATCAAAGAGTGTGGGAACAGTTGGAAGTTGTAAAAGAATTTCTTCGCCACGATCTCCCAGCATCTGATTTCACCGAAAGACCAGAAACTTTGACGTACCTCTCAAATCGCTTCCTCCACTGGGGCCACGAAGCTGGATTTGAAAAATTAAAACCTTATGGAGGGCTTACTTGAAACGATGTGGACGGGGCCACACCCGCTACACTAACAGTGGTTGTGGGTGTCGTCTCAGACTGGGTAGTAACCATGATTTATTCACAGAATCACCGGCTGCCACCATGTACTGTTATTGAACGAATAAAACATTAACTAGGACTGGAACTAGTCGTTTATTTAACACAAAAATCAGGATACCTTAACATACTTTTTTGTCTCTAACATAACCTCACAAAACTCCCCTTTTTTTCGCCTAGTGTATTCCGGTATTACTGGTTGCCTATAAGTAGGGGAGATAATAGATAACCCAACAATAACGAGAAGAACATTGGAAATTGGACCGCCTCGCCTGCGACGCGGGGACATTCATCATTAATCCTTCCTCGAATACGTTGAGTCAGGTCAAATAACTACTATTACTGTTTTTACTGTTTTTTATTATAGTTTTAACACTCGAGATTAAACGCAGTGCTTTAAAGTTATACTTGTATTTTGAAATGCCGAAGCCGAAGTGTAAAAGACGCCGACGCTCACCGTCGACTTCCTCATCATCCTCGACAGCCTCATTATCCTCGACATCCTCATTAACGTCAAGTACATTAGTGGGGGTAGCAAGTCAAGGCATACAATCAAAAGTCTACAAAAGAAAGCTGTTTCTTCATGTGTTTAACAATAACTGAAAGCGTCATACCATCTTTTGACCAATGGTAAATAATCACAATGCTGCTGATTGGGTACGTAAAATTGAAGATTTGATTAAATGTCATAACTGGGATGAATTATTAGAAATGGAACTTATTACAAATAAATTACGTGGCAATGCAAGACGCTGATATGATTCTTTACAGATTCCTTGTATCAAGTGGACGGAAATGAAAAAATTATTAATTGATCATTTTTCTTCTCAAGTGCATTTTGGACGCCTATTAATTTAGGCCGCGAACTATTTCCCATGTGCAGAGCAAAATTTAAGTGACTATCGTTTCGAAAAATGTTCTAAACTTAAAATGTTAAATTTAGCCATTCCTGATAAATATATAATAGATAGTGTAATAGAGGGTATAAACGACCCTAATGTCAGTTTGTCCGCTAAACCTGCAAATTTTAAAACTTTAGGTGAACTTTCTAATTATTTAAGTCATGCAACTACAAAATTAGCCTTCTACAAGTCAAATATATTCACGAACTAGTTCATTTTCTTCATTACAAAATAAAATGAAACAATCCCATTGTTCCTCCAAAATTTTATGTTACAACTGTGGTGGCAATCATAGGGTATGAGATTGCATGAAGCCGTTGATTGAATGCCGAAAATGCAAGAAACTAGGGCATAAGACCAAATAATAATGTAAATCAGTCAATTTTTAAAAAAGTCAACAAATTACCCTGTGAATTAGATTAGTCAATCAACAGAATCTCACAGAAACAAATATCAGTTAAAAGTATTTATAAATAAGCAGATGATAAACTGTTTAATGAATAGGGGCAGTATATGTACCTTGCTTAAATTATCTATAGCCCAGAAACTAAATCTATTATTAATTGTAACGTAGGCAAAACTCTCAAAAGTTTAATGCGAAATATTATTGTAATTAGGCATAAGACTACATCAAAGATAAAAGTCGAATGCGTTACGGCTCTTGTAAATATCACATTACTAGAAGAAAAATATTTGTCGTACGACTTAATTATTGAAACCGATTTTCTGAACCAACA